ACTGGTAGGATAAAATAATCACTCGGTGAGGGTGAGATAAAAAATTATCTGCAACTGACCATTATGTGAAACTACAAAATTGTCCCTATATTTTGCATGTATTGTTCCCAAAATTTCTGAAGTTTTTAGCCATCTCCAACGACGTTGGGCCATAATTATCATTTATCAACCTCCATCATCGCCAATTTCTCAAATTTCTGGAATGAAAAATAAGAATTGAACACAAAACAGTAATCAATAGAGAAGAGAAACCATAACCTTAACAAAAGACCTAATTTAGAAGTAAATCCAAGTGCACATCTATATTTCTTCTTCAACATCCCTTTATTTTTTTTTTTATTTTTTTTTTATAAAAATAAAAACAACGAAACTTGTGAGTATGTAAAGGGCGGTACCACAACACATGGTTGTGCGTGAAACATACACTACAAGAAAATGATGAAATTCCAACGGAAATATATTTCAAAAGAATTATTCCATCGGCAATTCCAACGAATATTTCAATACTATTATTTCCGTTGGAATTTTCAATGGATTCCAACGGAAATTCCAACGAAATATTCCGTTGGAATGGGTTTTTCATTGGAATTTTCGTTGGATTTTGACGATTCCAACGATGGATTTTCCAACGGGGGTGGAAAAAAAAATTCCAATGGAATTTGCATATTCCAACGAAAATTCCTACGGTAAAAAGCCGTTGGAAATATAGCCGTTGGAATCATCAAGTTTCATATAAAATTCCAATGAAAAAACGCATTCCAACGGAATATTTCCGTTGGAATTTCTGTTGGAACTATTCCAACGGAAGCTATTCCATTGGAATATCCGTTAGAATTTCCATTGGAATATATTACCATAGGATTTTCCATTGGAATATAACATTTATTTTGTAGTGATATGGTTTGCGACTTGAAGGCGAATTGGGGCTCCATGACGCACTAGTTTGAGCTATCCGAGATTTGATTCACAGGGACTGGAGTGTTCGCATCCAACACATTTACAGGGAATCTAATTTTGCGGCTGGTCACTTGGCGATCTTGGCGGAATCGTATCCAATTGGCTTACATCGATTGACATCCCCACCGGTGGGGCTAGGCTCTTGGCCTTGATCATGATAATATCGGGTGTCATATCCCCGTGAGTACTAGCTTAGTGTCTCGGCTTCTTTCCTTGCACCAAAAAAAAAGGCGGTACTACAACTGCGCAACAGAGGCGGGGCGGAAACTTCGAGACGACATGATGGAAGGTGAAGAGTCCACTTTTTTTTTAAAAAAAAAAATCGACAAATGGAAAACAAAAAGAACATGAACTGTAAGAAATTGGGGGAAAAACGGGTGTGGTCCTACTAACATGAAACGCACCATGAGAGGGAAAAGCCCATATGAAGCCCAAGTGGAGTTCCATCCCAAAACAAATTGGTGGAAGGAGGAGTAGCCCATTAGACTTATAAGGTGGGTCTATTTTCCATGTATGAACAA